AGCTATTACACATCTATTTAAATTATAAATCGTTTACTACAGGTTTTTGAAGCAAAAGGTAGGAAGTTTAGTAGAAATTTGAAAAAAGAAATATCTATATTATAAAATAATAATGTAATAACTGTATGTAAAAAAAAATGAAGAAGTACATGTAATAGTGATTTGATTATAATTATAGATCACGCATTAAGGGGATAACAAAGAATTTTTAGTAATCGTAGCAATCATAATTTATAAAAAACAAACGATGAAATAATAACTATAGCATAATTACTTCTGAATAATTATTCGCGCTTAAATTTTACAACACATTCCGGCTCTTGTAGTATTTCACTGAACTTCTCCAAAATCCATAACGTGATTCCATTAGTCCATCCAAACCCTGCTTGTACTACGTATTCGCCACCGCCTCCAGGCATAGTCAAATTCATGGCATTATACTCTATTTAAAGGAAATATCAAAAATTTACTATTCCGATATTTTCATTTTTAATTGTAAATGCGATGTTTCTTACTTTCGAATATATGACCCACGTCATTCACGAAATTCTCTTTTTTCTTTGTAGAAATGCGAATTTCACCACCAGTTTCTAGCCAAGTGCATAAAACTGATGAAACGAGACGCTGTGCTACCAGACGCGCAAGTTCGCTGAATGTATTAATATTGTCTTTTTCATTATATAATTTTTCTACGTTCAATAAAGCTTCAATAATGACATATTGTAATGGTGGCCACGCATTCGGAAAGTCCCATTGTAATCCTGTATCAATTTCTGTAGCAGGAAGTGACCCTGGATACTTTTCTAGTAATTTTTCTATTAGTCTAAATGATTCTTTAGCTGCTGTTAAATTGTTTGTAATTTCAGTTGGATAGATCCCTGCCCTTTAAAACAATTATGCCACAAATCAGCATTTTAAGGAAAACGACTGATTACATAAAATAATGACAATTACTTTACCAAAATGGAAAAAAAGCAGCCAAAGAAGCAACGGGCGTATGCCTCCCACTCGTCAAGTTAAAGTCCCAAAAACTTAATCTATTTTTATCCCAAAAAATGTCGATCATCCCTTCACGTCTGTCTTTAGCACGCTTTCTAAAAGAATTTGCTAATTTTAAATTACCAACTGCTGCATTGAAATCCGCCAACGTAATCTCATTCATATACATAATGGAATTCAAATCTACTGGTATCACCGATCTAGTATCTAAGTTCTGAAGTAGCGTATAATTATTCGGTCTGGTAAAAGAAGTATTTTGAAGGTATTCTGTCAATTTCTCGGCACGAACCCAACGAGATGAAAAATCCCAACCTGCTTCAGCTGCGGTGGCTATATCTGCATATAGGTTTGCTCGACCTGTCGCGTTTAACCAAGTAGCGTTCGTTGCGATGAAGTAATCTTCGAGAAAACTTTCTGGTCTTGGATCTGAGTTGTGGACTATATATCGATTTAAGGTGTATTGCTTCTTTGAAGAATGATTGTTTGCAACAACGTGAACTGTGGTATTTTTTTGCCAGAATTCGTATTCTTTTAGTAGCATCGGTAATGCAAATTTCATCATATCAAAATCATTTGTCGCTTTATAGTAAATTCTAACCATTTGAGTCAAAAGTGGAGGCATCGATCGATTCAAATAATAAATTCTATTACCACTTGCTGAAAAGAGAGATTGCAATAAAGTCGTATTCAACTTTTATATGAATATCGATACAAAATTAATTAATAGCAAAAATAATACTTACGCACAAAACCAATTTCGTCTATTATCTGCAAAAAATTCTCAATAATATCTTTCGCCATACGAAAATATCCACTAACCAGCAACCCTTCCAAGATAAAATAAGAATCCCAATAATAAAATTCCCTAAATCTACCACCCGGAACAATATAAGCATTTTTAACTGGAACGATACTGTCAACACAACCCTCGCATAAACGCCTATCATTTACAACACGCCTCGATAAATCCGGCCAGTAACTGTTGATTACACTCGCGAAAGCATGTAATGTATTATCCTTGATTTTTTCGAGAAATTTAGGGAATGGATTGAAGTCAGGAAAATTTGTAGATATGAACGACCCCTCGGATGAACTGAAATATGTGTCAATAAAATCACGAAGAGAAGATCGAGTATGGGGAAATGGTAGTTCTGAAAAAGCTTGGAGAACTTCGTGAATTGGTTTTTTTGTAGGCTAATTTTATTTTACAAATTTTGTTTGGAATTTTATTAGTTTCAACTTATTATTTTAATTTATTAATGATTTATATTATTACCATGTCTACAAATGTCTTTGAGTCGTCAAATAAATGTGCTAACTGAATTGTCGCCAAAAATTCACCCGGACAATATATGGTTGATTTACAACCACCATCATTATAAGGTGGCTTATCCGAATAAGTCGCATCCAATTCAAATAAGATTATAAACATAATAAAACGTATCAAAAATCTCATTTTCTCAATGAAGTGTTTTTCGTCAAAAAGTTCTTTTGATTTTCTAATTCATGTATGAAATCTGCTTCGTTATTTATAACGATAATTGATTTAATAAGTTATTCCTAAACGTAAATTAATGCGCGTTATAAATCTGAATTCATCATAGTTATTTTTTCAAGCCTCAAATAAACAATAAGCGACGCATCATCATGATCCGGGAACCGGATACAGTACAACATGCGGTTAATCATATGCAATCACAAGATCCAAGAATACCAAAAAAAATCTCAGGTTCATGTGATTTTTAATGGGTAAAACCAATCAAATCGCAAGATATGAATATTAACAATATTTAGAAATTTTATATCGCGCGCCCAAAGTACACTCATAAATATTCGGAATTTTGATATAGTGGATAGAATAATGAAAAATTGTCAAAATTGCCTGATAATTTAGACACATCTTTATAAACTGTAAAACAAGTTTTGATATAATTCTTTTTCAATAAAGATATAAAGTTAGCTACATTTATGATTGTTTTTAGTTTTTTATAATTTCATGGTATTTTTAACAAGATATTATATCAATATATCTTAAGTAACTTTGTTCTTTATATCAAAAAATATATATTTGAAAACTTTCACAAAATTCTATTCATTCTTTATCATATAATTGATATACAAATTTAAAAATTCCAAATCTTTATGATAATCACTATATATAAATATAAAAAGTGATTTTATAGATTGACTAATTTACATCTTAAAAATTACATGAATCAGAGAATTTTTACATTAGTATTGAATTTAAATATTCAATTCTTAAATAAATTGAAACCTCTTTAATAAATTGTTTATTTATTTCTTAGCAACAGTTAAATCTCCATCATCATTCAGCTCGGCTTTATATACTTCACCGAACGCACCATTTCCGATTACTGATTTATTGGAAAATTGATTAAATTTAAAAACTTTTATTTGTTCTTTTGATACAGCATCTTCCAACTACATGTATTCTATTGCAGCAGGCGAAAAAGTTGATATTTTTTGTTCCGTTTTTGTGAAAAAACGTGGCTAAATATTATATATTCATGTGGTACGTAAGCATTCATATTAGACGCATTTGCAATAGGGGCATATACCGTACGTTTTATCGTAACACTGAATTTGAACACATACACACCAAATAACGACAACGATTATCTCTCGTTTGTTTTCTATCATTTCAACCAATACATGCATTATCCAGTCAAGTCAAAGATGGAATCAAATGCTCATAATTGTAATGAATGTGACGATTGTCAATATAATGAATGCTGCTTAGTTCACAATACTTATGATTTTAGTAAATGCACTTGGTGTCAAAATAATTGGGAATGTGGTGAATGTTTCAAATATCACAAACGAATTTATAACGATGAATTGTCTAGTGGAGATAAAGATATTAATATCAACAATCTAATAAAAGAATGCAACAAATTTAATTATAAATATAAATTCAAATTCGAATGGATTCCATTTACAAACGCTGAATATCTTACAAAAGGAGATTTTGGGTCAATTTATAAAGCAACCTTTGTGGATGGTACATTGTATTACAAATGGGATCATGCAGAAAATAAATTTAAACGACACGAAGAAAGTAAAGTTGTGTTGAAATCATTACACAATTCAAAGCAAATTACTCCAGCGTTTAAAAATGAGGTAAAAATGAGCATTATCCAAATCAATGTTGTTTATTCTTTCTAATACAGTTAATCTTTCAAAAAATAGATTCCAACATGGCTTAAAAGCTATGATTGTGGCGCCTGGATAACATATTATGGGAGGACTAAAATCCCAGTTACAAACGATTACTTGATAGTAATGCATGCCTTCTATGCTGAACTTCACAAATATAAAGTGAACTCAAAGATGGAATCAAATGTACTGACTATCAACGTAAATATGGGTCCTGCGATGAATGTTTCAAATATCACAAACTAATTTATAACGATGAATTATTTAGCTGAAGACCAGTAGCTATATATTGGGATCATGAAAAAGATAAATTAAACAATTGGAGAATACAAAATTGTGTCGAAATCACCACATAATTCGAAACAAATTACTCAGGAGTTTATACAAGAGGTAAAATAAACATTTTCTAAAGTGAAAGTAAATTTTATTCAGGTCGATTACAAATGCAGCATTTTTTTTATTGGTGTTGATTTGTTAGAACGTTCAGCTCTATAAGTAAAGGTGTTTGTGGTATGTAATTAAAACATCCAAAGCATTACATATTTCATTAACACAAATTTGCCAGTACGTTCGTAATGAGGTATCATTTTATTTTATGAAGATTCGAAAGCATTGATACACGAAAACTTTATGCTATGAGAACCACAGGGAATGATATTCATATTTTATATGCAGAAAATACTTTTATTTGTACACGATAAATTATAATGTCAATAAAATATATTTTTTGCGGTACATGAAGAAATATTTGACACAAAAAATAATAACACAGCATTCAATACACGAATATACGTAATACTTCAAAGAAATGATTACATTAATGATTACCACAGTGAAAACAATGAACACAGTGAATGATTATGATTGCCACCACTAAAACAATGATCGTTTACTGGATATGCCCACAAAGTAGTAATAATTGAAGCATTCTCATGGCAGCACACTGCCTGATCTTTATTATTTTTCACAATACTTGCATCAGATTTCAAATAAGTTGTCTCCAGAAATCCTGTCCTTTTCTCAAAAGGTTGCAATGAATCCCGTGCTGTGATACAAGGTGCAAGTGAATTCTCAAGGTGATACTCCTTGATCAATTCACAAAACTTCAAGAAAATACTTGAATTCTTGATAAGTTTTTCGAGAGTACGCTTCACCTGAACATCCGTCGAATACTCAAATGCTGACAACTTGTTATCATTCTCAAGTAACCAACCCGCAGGATAAACTTGTTCATTTGGGAAATCAGCTGAAGTGATGAAAGCTGGGGCACTGTAACTTCTCAATCATCACTCTTCCTTCATTCACTCTCATATGACGATGAATTAATCGAACTCCGAGTTAAATGGAGTGTTCTTTTGGTGAAGGAATAGATTTTTTCTAGGAACTCTGTGAAGTTAGAATACTGTAATAATATGCTGGAGGCAACATCGACCTTGGGTAATGTGTTATATTTTTCAGAGTTAAATTTTGCGAAGTCAGCAAGTATCATTGTGATTGACGGTCTTGAAATAAAGTTATAGTTTATATAATAAGAGCTTTAAGTAAAGGAGTAATGATAAGAAGGATGATTCTTAAATACTTTCAGATTTGTCTAAGTGCGTTGTGACATGATTGGACAGAGAAAGATTCTTGGGAAAAATTTCTATGACGAAAACTAAAATAACTAAAATCACAGTAAATTTTGTAGATCTACCATTTTCTTCTAATAAAGAGTCTTTTATGATACATGTAAAATGATTGTAAACATATATTCACAAAGAAAGGTCAAAATCTGATTGTTCTTTTTATTTAATATAATTTGTGCCAATTATTCTCATTCTGATTATTTTTCCATGCTCCTCCAGATTATTTTCATTTTGCAGAAAAGTTTATTATCATTATGTGTTCTTCAAAATACAATTTATTTTATAATACGTGAAAGACTGAAAAGTTTTGCATGTGGCTCTCTAACTCGAGATTGCATCAGTTTAACTAAAATTAGGAATAATCATTAAATGCATATGCTTTCATGTAATAAATGAAAAAAAAGTAGAAGCAAATTCATTATCTCATTATCAAGAAACCAATTTTTTTGTCAAGCATAACAAAACAACTGGAAGCAAATGAGCCATAAAAACCAATGATACTTTATTTTCACTTCTTGTAAAAATGTCAGAAATGCAACTCGAATTCATGAAGAGTTGAAGAATGTAGAAGGAAATAAGCATTATTTATTAGTATAATTAGATACTGGATTGCTATATTCAAAGATGAATAAGAAGAAATTAAAGACAAGACACATTTTGAATATTCTTGTAAAGCAGTAATATCAGAAAAAATTGCCAGGATCAAGGCTCTTGTTAGTAATGATTTGTATATTTCTATTAAAGAATTAGCTAATAAAGTTGATATTTTTTATAAAAGAATTTCTTATATTTTACATAAAGAGCTAAGTCTTCACAAACTCTGTGCAAAATGGGTTTTTCATAGGCTTTCAAGAAATATAAATGAAATTATATCAAAATTTCCAAGCAATTATTAAAAATTTTAGATAGAAAATACAAAAATATTATTATTAGTAATGAATATGAATATATTTCTTTACTATTTCAAATAAGGAAGTGAATAAGTTATGAGACCATAAATAGTAAAGGCAGCTCAAAATTTGAGATTTTGCATATTTTTTTTCTGTAGATAGAGTTATTACACAATTTGTGATTTCAAAAGAACAGATAGTTAACACTAATCTTTATGTCAACAAGATACTATCAAAAGTTTTTTTCAAACTTTATGAAAAAAAAGGGATAGAATGACTGTTTGTGACATTATGATTTATCATGATAATGTCACAGCACATAAGGCAAGAATTCTAATGGAATATCTTTGTAATATGTATGTGGAACTTCTTCCCCACCCACCATACAGTCCAGATCTTGCTCTTTGTGATTTTTTCTTATTCTCTCAAATAAAAAAAGAACTAAAGGAAAAGAGATTTGATAAGATCAAAAATTTGGCATGGACTGTTCAAACAGTTGTTAAAGGTATCCCAAAAGAGGACTATGAGAACTCTTTCCAGAGTTGGTGAAATCAGCTAGAATGCTGTATAGAGTTTAACAGAGAGTACTTTGAAGGAATTAAATAGTTGTATTGATAATTATTACAACAGTTCTGGAAATAAACATCCACGCGCAAAACTTTTCAGCTCTCCCCTATTTACATGTAATTAAGAATATAATTATAAAAGAATGATGTAAATGAGAATCCCGACGTCCAAAATCCCGATGCCTAAAATTCCGAATACCCAAAATCCCGAATTCCTAAAACCAAAATGTCAACATATCCAATATCTTAAAATCTCACATACCTAAAAAGAGTAAGGACGTGATTTTAGTAAGTTGGGATTTTAGGCATTCGGGATTTTGGGCATTCGGAATTTTGGGCATTCGGGATGTTGGGACGTTCAGAATTTTAGGCGTTCGGCATATTGGGCGTTTGGGATTTTGGAATTTCGGGATGCTGGCATTTTGGGATTTTGGCATTTCGGGATTTTTGGTACTCGGGATGTTGTCATTTCGGGATTTTGGACATCGGGATTTTGGGTGTCGGTAGATCCATTGTAAATAGGATGGTTATAATATCAAAAATAGAATTATGTCAAGAATATGACTTATCAGATCGAGAACTTTATGGAGTTCTTCCTTGCACTAAAAGCTGATGATATTTATAGCTTGGATTGATTATGTGAAACAAACCTCTTATTTATAACGAAGAAAGACCTAAGATAGTGTTCCTGAGGATTACAAACTAAATACATCTGTACTTTACAGCTCCTTGGAATTTCCTAACGCTAAAACATGAAGAAATTAATGAGTGAATTAAAACATGGAAGAGTTTGGTAAAGTGATGAATTTGAAAGCATTTCTATAAAATTAACTAAAACAATAAATCCATCCCGAAAAAACACTCGGAATTTTCATGTAATATTTCGTGGCGGAACGTCTTGGAACGTGCTAATTCATAAACTTTTTACTAACAGATAAACATACAGTCAGATTTCTCTATAATCACAACTTTTATAATCACTTTTTTTATAGCTATCTTTTTGAATTTTCTGGTGTTTAATTAATTATAATTAAAAAATCTCTATAATTATATTTCTATAATTACTAATCTTGCTTTTTCAAATATAATAATTAAATATTTAGTATTGAAGATATTAATTATGCAGTTTTTAATTATTATTATTATTATTTTTATTATTATCTTTATCATTATCAAAAATAAATTTGATAAAATTATCATAATTGATTTATTTTTAAAATAGAATCTAAAATAAATATTATTATTTGAAAATATAAATTATAATTCTTTATAATATCTAGTATAATATCTTTATTATAACTATTCTAAAATATTTTTGAATTTATATAAGAAAGTATTCATAATTTCTTGACTGAATTTTTTTATATTTATTAAAATAATAAGTTTAAAATTAGTAATTTGAAAAGTAGTATATATTAATAATAATGATTTATACAAGAAATAATTATATTTATAAATATATTAATTCTAATTACAAAAAATTAATATGACATGATTTTTATTCTGAAATATATTATTAAATATTTATTTATAATTGAATTTTAATTATTATATAATAATATTATATTTAAGAATGATAAGAATTTATTTTAATTATTTAAAAGAAAGTAATTATTTTATTTATCTTTTATAGAAATATTAAAGTAATTATATCATATTTTTATCTTTATTTTGCTAGATATAAATTTATTTATAAATTATTAAATAAATTTTTAAATTTTTTATATATTTTTTATACTTAATTATAATTCAAAATATAATTATTAATATAATAATATTATTTCAAAATAATTAAATCAATTTAGATTCTTTAATATTCTTTAATTTAATTCAAGTTTTAAATTAAGTTAGAATTCTTAATAAATAATACAAGTTTAACTTATATAAATTAGAATTATATTTTTATTTAATTTAAATAATTATTTAAATAATTTGAATTATTATATTGATATATAATTTAAATTTAAATTTTATTAATTTTCTTTTAATTATAATTAATATATCTATATTTCTTTATATCTATTTAATATTACTTTATAATTATAAAAGATTTAATTATATTATTAGATTTATCTTAAATAAATTTTATAATTTAATTTAATTTAGTTAAATATTTTATTATAATTTTAGTTTTTTAATTAATTTAAATTCTGAATTAATATAATAAAATAATCTAAATTATATTTTTATATTATTTTAATTATTTTATTATATTTTAATTTAATAATATATAAAGTATTATTACTTTACTAAAAAAAACTAAAATTAAATTATTTTTTTTAAAAAAAATATTTTAAATATTATTAATAATATTAAAACTTTAAATTATACAAGTAAATTATTCTAGATTTGATAAATATATATTTTAAATTTCAAAAAAATTAAGCTAGTAGTTATAAAGATATTAAGATTCAAAGTTTAGTAATTAAATTATTTACTATATAATTTTTATATTAATTTTAATTAATTTTATATAGAAAATTTAAGAAATAATAATTTAAAAAAGATTATTATTAGTAAAATTTTTTTATAAAAGATATATAAATAAAAATTTTTATATTTAAATAAATTTCAATATCTAATAACTTAATTAAATAAGATATAATCAAAATTTTATTTTAAAAAAATAATCTATTAATATTTATTTAATATACTAGTCTTTTTATACTAAACTATATATTAATATAAATAAAATATATACTATTATATTTTAATAATTTTACTAGTTAAAGATAAATAAAAGTATTTATACATATATTATTAATTGTAAATCTTATTAGTATAATAAAAATAATAATTAATAGCTTTCAGAATTATTTTAATTACTTACTATTATAAAATATAAATAGAAACAAGTTATTATAAATTTTATAATTTAATTATCTATTATCAAATTTAAATATAATATTATAATAAATTTTATTAATAAACTATTAAAAGAATATACTTTATACTAATATATATATAATAATTATAGTATTTAATATCATAAAAATATTTTTTAAGAATATATTTAAATTATATAATTTATTATTAATTATAATTTCAGATAAAAATATTAAAATTTATAAGTAAATTTTAGAGATTTTTATTTAAATAACTTGAGATAAAACTAATAATATTATTACAGCGAATCAGTAAGTGGATTTTCATTTTGATTCACCTTAATGATATAGGATTGGGAGAGACTGAAATAATAAAAGGTAAAGAGAGAGAAATTAGACTATAACTTTTAATAATGATAAAGATTTCTAAGGCCTGTGCCAATATTTATGAATATTATCTTAATAAAGAATAAATAAATAAAGAAAAAATAAAATAAATCAAAGAAATTATAAAGATTAACTGAGTGAAGCCACTAGTAATCACTATAATTCAAGATTTGAGTTGATTAAATAGTATAAACTA